AACTCCCTAGTTGAGCCTAGACTTACAATACTGTAGTTGTGCGCACACATTTTTTTTCAACTAGTACTAAAAGTTTGGGTGTCCTCTTTTTCAGTTTTACCTTCAGATAAAGAGATTAAGATAATCTGACTAAACTGTCTGATTGATTTGTGTTTGTGTTTCTTGCCCCATTGGACTTTGCTGTGTCAATGTCGCCATATTTCCCAAATCTCAGCAATTATTGTAGTAAGTAAAATGTTATCATAAACAATAGAAATGATGGCCTATATCTGCCTATAACTATAAAATTAGCCAAAATAAACCCTAATTATCCTTTAATGGACAGAGGCCAGGTTTGTGGTGAACGAGGGGTAAGCTGGATATTTAGGCTGACAAATTGTTTCATACACATACAAACAGGCCTGAAGCACTGATCCCTCCAGTAGTCAGACACCGTGTCTCCATGTCTATGTTGAATGACACTGAACATTGCTTCCTGTAGTGAGGCTGCATTGTTTCTTATGCAGGATTTAGAAAGCCGATATCAAATTCTACTCAATTCAAAGAACCTCTGTTTTATTAGAAAGACAGACAGGTGATTGCAGCTTTTAAGAGTCTGCATCACAGACAGCGACACAGCTCAGAGGAGAGGTGGAAAACTTGATGATGAACGGAGTAGAGGTGTAGATGTATTGAATTGCAACAACATTCCTGAAGGTAAACTTCAGGTATTGAGATGCTGTGGTAATTTGTAGTGGGTTGTGTCATGGTTCCAATTGCTCTCTCTCTCTGTTTTTTTTTAAATTCCCATTGCTCAAGGTGTTGATGTTGAACTGAATGACTTGACAGATGAAGTTATAATCTTTATGACAACAGCCCAAAGGGTTTTTCTGTAGCCAATGATGTAAATTTCAGGTGGGTGTGACAATGATTGACTGCCTTATGACAGAGCTTTGCAAATCCTTTAATCCGTTCATAAAGCTCAATAGGGGGCACTTGATGCACTTTATCCTAGCACCTCTCCCCATCTGGCTTCTGTAAAAGACACTCAGTGCTGTCAGATGTGCTGAGGAGCTGATGACATGCTGCCTTTATGTTTCATAACAGAAATTCACTCAGTGTACAGTATTAATTTAACATATAGATAGAAGTAGGCACTAACTAAACACATTAACACTGTTTATTATGTTTCTCTTAATATTTGAATTCTTTTTTTTTTAAATACTCCTTACATTTTTGCCCAGAAAAGTGTTGTTTTTTTAAACAAGGGTAAGGAAATACTCTAGAAGGCAGACTAGAATTTATATGTGCTGTCCATGGGTGCAGACTGCTGGAATCTCTGTAATTTTATGGCCATACGGATTGTAGAACAGCTTGCCATCTATGACTGAGTGTCTTGGTTGCTGTCGAGTGTGTGTGATCTATGGATTTGTGTCCCGCTCCAGTGACAGTCTGAGCTTCTTCTTCACACAGAAGCCTTTTATCTCATGGAGACACAGATGAACCTGGAAACTGCAAAGAGATAGAAACTCCCAGTAAAAAAAAAAACTAAAAAGTAAGCAGATTTTACTTAGGCTGGGAGGGTGATTTTTTTGTTGTTGTTTTCTGTATTAATACAATCTTTTTCGACATACAGAAGATATGTAATGCTCATACTGGTAATGCTATACCACATAAAGGTATAGCTGCCCTGATTTGTAACACAAAGTGCACTCATAGATGAGTTCCCAGTTATTGGGTTACAATGAACGCAACTATTCTTGTACTACAAGTTTCAGATAGGGATTTGTTTGAATCAGTTAATTCAGTTATTGAATGCTGCCACCTGGTGCAAAGCTTGGGTAACAACTTCTCAATCCTGTGAGAAATGTGTTTTGTAGGTCTGATGTATTTTGTGTTGCAGATGATTCAGGATGACTGTTAATGTATTCATATAGGAAAAAACATATAGACATACATAGAGGAAGAGGAAGAAAAACCATGTGGGTTATTATCAGATAATCAGTTAACAGCAAAACTCACACCTGTATGCAGGTATACTGGGGTCCACATGCCTGACACAACCCAGAACAAAAGGTGCACTAACTAGGGCCAAGCAGCAGGTCAAGACCATCACGGAATAGTATTTAAACATGTGGTTTAATACACTTTTGCTTGTATGCTCTGTGAACAAATTAATCTTAAACAATGAATGACCAAAATCAGTAGCTTTTAGCAGTGGACCTACACTTACTGGTGACTACATACACAAATGTCAGATCAGCTGTAATAGACCTACACAGGCCTAAGTTATTTCCTCATTAAAAGCATATTAAAAGACAGAAATCATAATCTGATAAGTCTGTTGTTATCATAGGCTAGGTAAATAATTTGTCATGTGCAGTGCTTGTATACACCAGTGTTTTACTGAAGTAAACTTGACAGCTTGAACTGCATTCAGTCATTTTGTCAATGAACATAGGCCTACTACTAAACTGAAATCTCAGCGGATTTTAGTTTGAGATCTTGTTTGTGTGCTGCTGGAGTAAAAGATAGTTCTTATAGGCATCTGATCTAGAAAGAAATGGGCCACATACAGCTATGTATACAAGATATTAAAAAACAAACACCAGAATCCTTGCATGTATAAGGAAACATTTTTAACTTCCACAAAAACCTGTACATATAATTTTTTTTAAACACTGTCTTATGTCCTCTGATCTTTTTTTTTCTTTTATCTCTTTAATCATTATCTTCTATGGACCATCTGTCTGGATACAGTGGATTTGAACAATTTGTTAAATTCTCTGCAGTATTCTATCTCTAGTTTTTGTCTCTGTGTCCGGGTTACACCAATTCAGTTGAACTGTGTGCTGTGTCAATATAGGTTAACTGTGTGTCTCTACGCGTTGCACCCACTGATATCTATCACACCTGCCAATCAGGGGGCACATTAATCAACAATGGTGTCAAGCAGCATGGGGCAGAGAAAGTGCTCTCCTTCCATCCATCACCCCGTAAAAAGTTGGTATCAGGCGTAGATTTAAATTTATTCTTTTTTTTTTTACCACACAGTCAGATTGGGCAGGAAGATTCTGCACAGATGGATTAGTTCAGTTTGTCTCCATCATGGGTTGCGAGACCTGGCTGAACACCCTCTACCTCTTTTTCTCTGTTTCTCGGTCCCAGCCAGGTAAAGTGGAGAATTGGCTTCAGGTAATTTGGAAAAGATCTTATCTTTTGTTAACAATCGAATGACACCATAATGGAGCAGCAGGGACGCAATTACCTTTTAGCCCTCCTCCTTTTCTTCCTCCCTCTCACCTTCCCTCCGCCTTCACCTCAGCCTTCACTGACAAATTAAGATGAATGACCGTGATAAGTAAGGAACCTGTCTACTTTCCAATATCACACGGTCAGGTTGAGTTTAAGAGTGCCTCATGAGTACAGAGAGGTACACCTCATCACTTGGTGTTATTCCATTATACTTGTTCCCTGTAAAACCTCTTTTTCCCTTATTGAAATTTTTAGAGTAGTATTTAAATTTCAAATCAAAATTAAATTTAAATACACAATCATACCAATGTGCAGTGAAATACAGCCTTGCCTTTTCCATAGACTTAGCAAATAGATAAATAATAGACAGTGTTGAGAAGAATAATTTAAAATATATGGAACCATTAACAACAGCAGACAAAAGACAGAATAGAGAGTAAGTTTGATGTGTCTAAAATCTGTAATGTACTGTATCCCAGCTGTTGCTGTGTCATGACGTCAAGACAGGGAAGCAACAGTGCCATAAATGTTCACTACCTCAAAGAAAAGTGACACACCTTGAAAGACACACACCTATCTTACTGCCTTGGTGGAAGGAGGTCACTCAGTAGTGATAAAGACATCCATTAAAAAGGCTAAGGGACGTAATTGGACTTTTCAGTTGGTAGGGCTTAAGTATTTTCTCTCAGGAACTGTTTCTATCGTCTTGCTACCTGTATACTTTGCATTTTTTTATTTCCATTTCTAAGACTGGATCTTTATATCTATAGGTAAGACGCCTTTTCAAAGTTTTTTGAGAGTGTTAAAACAGGTGTAGCAGATACTCCCTCACCCCTACATATATACACTTATAACCTAACCTCTCAGTTGTCAATGTGAAATTAACTCCAAAGGTGGAAGGAGACCAGACCCCTTCCCCCAACCCGCTATGCCCCATCAGAGTTGACTCTGCATGCCCCCACCCTACCCACCCCCGCCCTGCAGCTGGAGGTGTCTGTTTCACAGGCCTCTGTAATGCAGAACCTGGGAGGATAAGGTTTCACAGGTACAAAAGTTTCTGCTTTAATCCTATCACACAGAGTGAGTGGTCAGGGCTCAGGGCTTCGACATAATCCCAGGTTTATCCATTCTAGTGAGCCAAGAGACAGATAGTATGTAGAGAGGAAGAGATTACTGCCCATCTCTGATTTTATTTAATCAGTGTTTGCACAGCAAACGGCAAGAGGGGTCTCTCAATAGCAATTCAGCTATTCCACACCTCAGTGCACACAGGAGAAGATCGGTAATAGATATAGTTAAACATCTCCTCTGGCAGCTGTTAAACAGACTGATGCTCTGAATCAATTTAAAATGTCATTATTTCTGTCTGCAAGGAATCTTTTATTTCTTATCATGGCTAAAGCGGGATGGCAACTAACTGGAAAAAAATATTTTAGAAATCAAGTCAAGTTTTAGTGTTTTGTTCCTGCAGTCTGCCAGAGGTTAGACTGGGTCAATGATGAATTTCAAAGGGTGAAAAATAAAATAAGAGGGTCTCTAAAGGCTGACAGATCTGTGTTGTGTTTTGAGTGAGCTTATCAATTTCACAGCAGGTGATTTTGCCTGGCGTGGCCTCCTCTGGAGAATACAACTGCCCTGGCTTCACACCGGGTTGCCAGTCACTGCTGTAAGGTTACAACAGGCTGCATCATCCTACGTCATGAATGTGTTGACAAGAGTAGTTTGGTGAGAAATAAATGCTAAAATTTAAATATCGACCACTTTAATTCAATGCCTTTAATACTAAAAATTACAGAGCTGTATTGGACAAATTAATAAAACTTGACTCTGAATAAGCAGAAGGTTCTCCATGACACCTTTGCAGGCATGGTGGCCTTTCTACCTTGCTAACAGATTTTCTGACAGCCTGAAATGCTTTTGATTCATTCTAGAAAGTATGCATTCTCAGAAATTTAATACATATTCACACTGACGACTGCAAAGCAGATTGCTGCATCCTTCCACAGGTCCCTTGAAGTGTCAGACTTGAAGGAAGAGTGGTTCTTTTGAAGGCAGGTAGAAGGCGTTGCGGAGCTGAGAAGTGCTGGAAAGGGCATGTCCAAACAGACTTTAGAACCTGAATGATGGGACGCGGGAAATGGTAAGAGGACACCTCGCCTTTGCTCTCATGTCAACACAGTCATGTGAATCACAGCTGTGAGGGTGTCTGAAGATCCAGCAGACTCTCAGCAAGATCTATCTCAGCTTCTACAGAACCAGCTGTGTTTCGATGTCACCATTGCTTGTTTGTTTTTTGTTTTTTAAATCCTTTCAAATTGATTAAACAGATCTGTAATATATGTGTATCACTCATCAAGGCTTTTCCAAGTTGATCCCACATGGATGTGGATACAGTTCAAATGCAGTGCAACACTGGAGTTTAGAGAGCTCAACTTAAGCAGTACTTCTGTCATGAGTGATGAAATGATGATGGTAAGTAAAGTAATGCATGTGGCCTATGTCAGTGATTCAGAGGATATTCCCCTAGTAGGTAGGCTACCTCTAGTTGCCAGGCGTTACAAGGCATGAAAAGATTATAGAGTAGATCAACATTTTTTCATCAAAAATATATCCACATATTAAGTCAGCTGTAACACTTGAACAGTATGTGTTTGATTTTGAGCATATGAAAACTAATCAACAATCAGTTGTACAATCAAAGTAATGGATACATGGCAAAAGCAGTTTGCTAAAAAGTAACGGATAAAAAATTTAAATAGAGGGCTAGAGGGCTATGGAGGAAAAGCTGAAATTGTTAGCCAGCAGTAATAGTAAAACTGTCAAAACATTTATGTAAAAGTAATGGATATATGGTTGAACTAGCTTTAGGAACCATTAATTCATAACATGTAGCCTATATGTAACAGATAGCTAGCTAGCTAAAAGGTTACTGGATAAATGGTTGTAATTGGTACAAGTAATGGTACAACTTCTGGTCTAACCCAGTCTGGAGTTTTTCAGTCGTGGGAATGCCTATGAGAATCAAAGTGTCAGTGCTCAGTCCTGGAGACTTAAAGATAATGACGGCTATTTTACATTGGATTTTGTCTTTCTTTAGTCTGACCATTTGACATAAATATCCCATAATTAAAAATAGACACACACTGACAACCATCCAGCTATAACTGATGAAAGACTGATTAAAAATCTTTTCTCTTTTACTCCATTTTCATTGATGAAAACGTGTTGGATGTTGACTTGAAATTTTACGAGATGGGTCTTTGCAATTACGCCATCTCAGAGATAGGGGGCAGCAGAGATCAATTTATCCCCAAATGCCTCTTCCCACTTGTCTTAAACTTTAGATTTTTCACATACTCATCCACTACGTTGCTTCTTAGTCTTTTAGTAAATATGGAATATTAAATAACTAATATAAAGATAAACGTTGGGTGTAAATTTTTTGAAAGATCCATCCTTTAAAAGAGAACATCATCTCTGTTTATTTACATTTACTTATTGTATGCAAACTATTGTTTCAGACACATAAGAAACAAAAAAGTCACTGGGTTTATATATAACCGAGACAAGTTGATCTATTGAAGACTAAAAGATTGAGCATTTGACTGTTATTTCTCTGTGAAAAATAGAATGATCTGTTTCTATCATATTGAACCAATAACTGTTAAATTATATAATTACACAAAATAAATAAAGCCTACAAAAACCTATGAATCTAAATTAATTTATATACTAATAAATGTATCAGCAAATCATTTACAATGTGATAACTTCATGTCAAATTAGATTAAAACACTGAAATTATAAAAACACAATATTGTGTCATTCTATGTATATTCTCATTGTACACAAAAAAGCTGTACATCCATATTTTTCTCTACACACATCCAATTTCTGTTTGTAATTCTAAAGTTATAGAAAGTGCTGATTAGCAATTCATCACTGTCACTGAAAATTGACTCCATTGCAGGCCACTAATACATCATTATCTCCTTGGGCGCGTCCTCGGTAGGCCTTTGCTGTTCTCTCCTATGTGTGTAGGCTGCGTGGTCATACATGTAGATCAAAGCAATGGTGACGAGAGAGAGCACTGTGTAAGGGATGATCAGGTAGTATCCTAGCTGCATCTCTGAAGACTTGTTCCTCAGGTCCACTGCAACAGCATCGGCAAAGTCCCTCACCAATTCCTCTGCCATGTTGGTCACATTGATGTTCACCACAAATATGATAAGGACCACAACAGACAAACATGCTGCGGAAGAAAGAGTACCATTAGAATTGCCATACATGAAGAACAGGACAAAATGATATCCCAACATCCGCAAAAATATGCTGATTTGTTTCTGGCAATTCAACTTCTATTACTCCCAGATGCTTAGTGCTCTAACATTTGTGCGACTTACCGCTGAGCGAGCTGCAAGCGTAGATGCCAACAGGCCCCATGTAGGTCTCATAAGGGTTACTGACACTGTTGTAGAGGGATATAAGGATGCTGCAGGCGGAACACAGCAGACACACGGCCAACAGGCACAAAACCAAAGCGTGCAGTACTAAAGGGGTAACTCCTGTTTCTACCAATTTAGGAATCACTAAACACCCACACATGTGCACACACACACACACACACATACACACAGAGTACAAGAACATTATGGTTATATAACTTAGAAAAGCTTACATTCATTTTGATATATATATATATATATATATATATATATAATATATATATATATATATATATATATATATATATATATATACTTTAGTTGTATCTAGCCATGTAGGTTGTTGTTTTTGCCCATGTTTCCAGATATGTGTCTCTGAGACCTCTTTGTGAAGAGTTTTCTTTGGAACTACTTTCAACAGAAGAAATAATACCTATACAAAAACAGTGTGATATTTAGATTATCCAGGGGAACCAATAACTGTTAAATTGGTAAAAGGGACATTTAGGCTACATTTTTTTAGTGCTGTTGTTTGGAAGCAGGAATCTCAGAGAAGTATATCTCAAAACCTGGGAAGATTATAACCATCAGCATGGCTAGATTCTAGAGATATGTGTGTGAGTAAATATCTTGTAATGTAATGCACCCTTTGAGAGCCTTGGAAAGTTACCTTGAAAATCATCAATTCTCCCATACACAGGGCAAAAGCTTCTGTTCATAATCCCAGTAAAAAGCGTCAAAGTGATGATAGCAGTTCCATTGTAGAAGCTACTTTCACCTCTTGCACAGTCCAAGGTTGTCTTAGCCCACTGTGTTGACATGCCATACCCCATCATCCCAACAGATATGAGAGTGACAAACGCACTGGATGTGAAAAGCAGAATCTTCGTAGTGGAAGGCATTATCGCTGTATTCCAGTTGCACTAGTTAAATCTTAATCCCAGTGTCTCTTTTCTAAATCTCTAAAGAAGCCTCAGAAGCAGATTAGGACCCTCTGATCCTCGATTGATTTTGTGTATGAGTTACCTTCCTGGGTGGAGGGAAACGTTGACGGCTGGTCGTAAAATCTCTAGATTATGGCTGTGACCTTTGGTTTGAAAGACAGAGCTGGTTGTCATGGTAGGGACACCTGTTTCCCCAACAGTTTAAACACGATAACTCTGCCATGTCTGGTCTCAGACTCCAAAACCGAAAACCATATCTGTCTGAATGTGCAGTGAGGGTTGGGAAATATTTTCTGAGGGGCCAGTACTAACAATGGATACACAATTCGCTGAGTTCAGTTGAACAAAGCAAGCACAAACACTGGGAACCACATTCACAGTCTTGGTTTCAAAGTCCTGTTCTTGAAATTGTAGGGTCATAAAGCATAATACAGATTAATAATTTACCTTTCACACTAAAGACAATTTACTGGAAGAGGAATGATCCTTTGATGACATGTATGAGTAATAAATGAAGCAGCAACTCCATGATCAGGGTTGATGATTAGTTTATGATTAGAAAAGTTGTGCTACATATGATCTTTGAATAATAATACAAATAATACCATAACTATAGAGGAAAATCACTGAGAACTGGAATTCTCCTCTGGCCTCTATAACTGTTTTTTTTTATGATGTATGCCACCTGGTTGGGGCCATTGATTTATGACACAAAATGAAGCTGATTTGCAGCTTCATTTTTCAGTACAGTATAAAGCTTAAGGAGTTCCTGGTCTCTGGGTAATGGTAGATAAGTAGGATCATGAGAATCTGTTTATGCTTTTGCAAAATGTTTCCACAAATCCTCTTATCTCTGGGAGTAATTAAATGAGCAAAAACCTAATAATTTCAGCAACAGGCTTACATTTTATTATTACATGACATTGTAGAGGAATATTTTACAATAAGATTTAGAGGTCTTAATTTGTCAAACTCTTGTCCTCATTTCGTTAAAATTACGTTATTATTTTTTTTCTATAATTCTAATACAAACCTTATTAAATCCCAAATAAAACCATTTCTAACTAATTCCACTTGGGCGTCTGATGAGGAAGCAAACATGTAATTAAGCGTGTGGCCAGACTGTGGCTCCCTCTCTTCGCCAAACAGGAGAGGATCCGTGTACTCGCTGACAGCCAGTTCTGTTGGAGTAAACACAAACTCCTCCTTCCCGGTGACAGGCGGCAACACTGAAGCATCGCCTCGCCTTTTCCAGGACAATCTGCGCTCAGGACCTAATGTTGAAGCCATCGAGGTGAGTGATAAGATTACTTTATTTCTCCCCGCCCTCTTTTCCATCTTGACACTAACTAGATGCGTGGAAAACGTCAAATGTTTTTTTTCAGTCACATACAACGCCGTGTTACCTGTCCGTTACGCACAGCGGCGCACGGTGGATTTGTTTCCACATGAACTGTCCATTTAAGGTTTAACATGGCAGTAAATACAGTCCTCGTAAAACCCGCAATGTTTGTCATGTGCTTAATGCTGTGAGATCTCCGTTTGACAGTCGACCCGGTGCGTCAGTGTGGGTTAATGAAACAAGCGCGTGGAGTTTCTGTCCTGATCTCCCCATTTGGTCTTTATTTTCCCTCGTTTATCTATTCGGCTTGTCTTTTGCATTCATCACAGTGAAGATTAGCATTCTTTTCTTCATATTCGGCTGTTGACTGCTTGTCTTTGTGGGCTGCAATTGAGCCAGTTTGAACATGTCCACGAACAGAGGCTATATTGGTACTTCATATATCATGGATGGATCTGCTAAGACTTGTTACTGTAGGAGGACTCCTCTCCAGGTTTTTCAGTTATGACTTGAGCATTTGACTCTAAATGTAGTGTTGGCTGCATACATTTATTTTTTGTGGTGTTGTAATGTAATAATCATTGGACATAATATTTATCTCCATAGGGAAGGTCTCTCCCTAAGGATGTCAGAGGTCAGGGTCAGCAACAGATCAGCATCCTTGTAGCAGCTTATCTATAGCAGGGTGCTGGGTTTAGAAAAGACATTTGCCTAACCAGACCGTGGAAATCAAAAGTTAAATGAACCAACACACCATCTAGATTGTGCTCCACTGACCGTTAACAAGAGGACAGACTTTGACAGCCTATGCTCCTGAAAAGACTTTAATTTAGATTCATTCTAAAGCAGAAAATACATTCATAGGATAATTGTGAAAATCATTCCTACACTATTGTTTTCATGTTTTTATCACTTGGTCTTTATAGGAACTGTTTTGACAGATTCTAAGGGTTAAATGCTGTGCTGTTACTGCTTAGTTCATTAATGTCAGAGAGATGCGGATAATTACTTCTAGTCTTGTAGTCTGTCTGACAGGACCAGGTACTGCAGACTGAGCAAAGCTGCCTCAAGGATCAACAGACAAGAAAAGAATGTGGAAACTTTCTGTCACTCCTGAAAACAAGAAATTACTCTTATTTCATCTTGAGTAGTGCTGCCAAAATTCTAACAAGCCATAAAGAGATCAGCCCCTAACAGTTAATATGGTGCCAAGGTCACTGAAATGGGTAACGGGTTGCTGTGACTTCCAGTTTTTGCTAAACAATGATGCATTTGGCCCCTTTCAATTAAAAAGGCAGCACCTGATGTCTCTTCAGTCAAACTTTAAAACTCAGGCCAAACATGTTGAACCTGCCAAGTAGGAAGAGGTCAGTTGACATTTCCTGGGCCTAAGACCAACCTCTTAAAATTATTCATGCAGTGGTCATGTGGTGTATCCTCCCTCAACTTGATTTTGTCTTTACTTTCTCTTTTGTCATAGACACTGTCTATGGGTCTTTGTCTTACTCTTACTCTGTGTGTGTCTGAAGTGTGAATTCCATCTCAATTATACAGTATGGACCCTGAGATGACTAGCAATTGCTGTGGCAGGACCTAATGAGAATGCGATGAAATTGCCAAATGAGGCTGTGTAAGGACACAGGAAGAAATAACATTTGACTGCTGAGTGCTGTCGGCAGATTGACTTGGCTTTCATCTTGTTACTATTCATGATTGACGCCAGTTAAATTCTCCAAGGCCAATGTGTACTTGTTACAAAAAAAAATCCATCACTGAAAGAAGCCCGGTGTTTAATCTCTGCCTTTTTCAAAATGACCTGAGCCACTCCTCTGTAAACTGGCCACTGTTTGTTCTGTTATTAATTTTTTGTGAGAATATAAACTGTATATTTCACTGGGAGAACTAATTTATCAAAGAAATAAGTGTGAGAAGGTAGGTTGTTTGTACTTGTGTCTAAGTCTTTTAATAAAATGGTGGAAATACTCAACAGGTTTAAGTGCAGGAGCTACAGTTATTTGCTATTAAACACACTGCCAGAAAGTGCTCGTCTAGGCTATAGTCAGAATTGTAAAATGGTGTGTTGGAATGGTTGTGAAGTGTATGTTATATGAGCAGTGGTGTGCTGTGCGAAACGAACAGATGTGGTGATTAATGAAATCCACATTAAGGTGGAGAGGAACGGGTTGTGCATACCTGAAGTTTCTAACAGCTTGCTGGGTAGAAACCTGAAATTGCCAGCCTGGAGTTAATCCACGCAGCTCGCCCACCCTCTATCTATCTGCCGCCTCTCTCTAAGTCTTGGAAACACACTTCTAACTTTGAGGTGCCACAGTGAGACTAACCGCTGTGCAGTTTTCTCTCCGAGGCTGCCACATTAAATACACTCTGCTTCATGGTAGGGTTTTTGCTCAAATAGGCGGAGAAGGAACTAATTGCTATAAAGTCACGACAATTAGGGATGAGACGTGTCTGACCCAGAACTTGTCAGATATTCTTTGGCACAAAAAGGTTTTAGCCAGCCTTGAAGAAGAGCTCATGAATTAGGCATGGAAATTGTCATAGTAAGATCCTCCTTTTGATACAAACAGCATTTGTTTCCAAACTGTTATTTTTCTGCTTGCCTTAGTGGAAGCTTGCTAAAGCACATTAGGCTGCAGTATGTTGCAACCATAGGCTTGTTTGTGCTTGCGGGTAGTGCTACAGAATGCAAACCCTGCAGTCTGCCTTTGGATTTTGGCATCATACTTAAATGATTTAGTAATGATAAAACATATAATAAGTCGTACAGAATGAGGAGATGAGAGTTTAAACCCCACTTAATCAGGCAGTTGGATTAAAAGCTCATTGAAAGTAATGACCAACGGGACGGGTTGCTAAGGGTTGATTGTGCGTTGTATTTGAGCATAACAGTAAGAGCAAAACCAAAACCAGGGAAAGCAGAAACAGAGCATGTGAGCGGTGTATTGCTTCCTGCTTGGAGGACTTTGGCAGTATCTGGGAAGCCCCGGAGCCTCACAGTGAGGTGGGACCTCAGTGACACAGAGAGAGGGTGTGTCTACATGAGAGGAGGCCTTATTAAACACATGGCCGCCGCGAGGACAGTCTACAGCTGTGCAAACTGCTACCTGCAGCCCTCCCTCTTTTTCCCCCCACCATCTGATCTGTGTTACACTCGGGCTTAGCGCTAGTGTTGCTGCTGCTGCTGCTGCTGCTGGGGAAGGCAAGTGAGACACTGCTGTGACTCGTGAGTGAAATATGTACTCAACTCGAGCAGTGTAGATTTGTGTTTGTTTACTATCAGTTGTGTTTAAGACTAAGCTGGTTCACTGCAGCATTAAAATATCTGGACAGAGATCAAGGTTCTCCCTTTTCAGATGCATCAGAACTCACCCACCATCTGTTCAAAAGAGGCATTGAAATTTGCTCCTCTGAGATAACAGTAAGGTCGAGTACATGAGAGCTTTTCTTGGTCTCACATAAACTGAATATCTAAAGGTTTGGACTGTTGCTCTGGACAAAACAAGACATTTGATGAGGTTGCAGCCCTAGAGTCAACTATTCACAACAATGTTGGAATTGGAAATGGAGTTTATTCTGTAGTACTCATTGTTAGCCACTGTGGTAAATGAAATTCAGGGGATGGCGAGGAAAGGAAATGCTTGTGACCTCTTAAAATGAAGCAGTGTCTACTCATGACCCATTATCACAGGTTATGGCCTCACCGTGGCACCAGATTGTTAGCAGTTAAACCTGTTTCAGTAGAGGCCTGAAAAGGGGAAAGTGTCAGGTATTTGAAAGTCAGAGCAATTAAACATGATTTTGCAAAACAGAAATATTTCTTTGTGCCTGTAATCATCTTGTGACCCCTCCGATTTATCTTGGGAAACGTAAGGGGATCCCGAACCCCAGGCTGGGAACCACTAGGTTGAGCCCTTCGGGTTTGAATAAGAACATATGGCCCAGGGAAGTACTGCATGATGTCACTCCACAACAGCTGCCCAGTAGTAATATGGGTGTATTCCCTCCACCAGGCAACACATAATTTCTCTATTGTATTTCTGTTAGTCACTACATGAGCGTATTGCAAAGCACACAACAAAGCTCTGAAAATACATGTTTGGGGAGATGGAGCTGGTGACCTTGCAGTTGTTTTTTGAGTCACATTGTTAAAACCCTTTTAAGTATGTGTGTGTTTTTGTCTGCATTTTAGCTTGTAGAAATAGCAAAAAAACTTGTTTGTTATAATCACACACTCCGATACTTAACATTGGCTCCTGGTGGGGGGCAGCATGCTGACAGATACGATTTTAACTAATTTTTAACTCATAATGAATTGGGCAATTACTCTTTTTTGTAGGCCAAAATATGGCAGCCTAATTTGGTGACCTCCTGAGGGAAAGCAGGGTGGTGCCCAGAAGAGATGAACTCCCAATGCTATGTGGCCTGATTTAACTGAAGTGAAAGCAAACATCTCCAGCTCTGGCTTCAAACATGTTCCATTCCACTTTATTTTATCTGAATGAATGACTGAGAAAACAAATATTAGCTTTTTCTGTGGAAAACAAAGGCAACCCAAAGGCTGAGAACATGGCTAATATCACTTTGACTGCCAGCCGTCGTGGATTTCCTCGATTTGATCTTTGTGTGAAACCGAGATGCAGTCATGTTATATGCATATAAAATATCACCCCCACAGATGACTAGATAGCTTAATGTTTATGATAATGGATAATGTCTCTGGAGTCAAAATGATGCAAATAGCAGGAAACTGAGTCGTTCTACTGCACATGTGTTCATGGAATTGCTTCTGCATTTATTTTGTTCTTTTATGTCCCTCTAAAATTTTCCTCTCAAACAGTATTGTACTTGTTCCTGCTCAGATGCAAACATGTAAAGTGGCTTTTAATTGATTCTAAAAGCAGCAGGCGTGTGGCAGTGTCTCACATGGCGCT